GTATTTGGAATTGTTCCTGCGTATACAAAAAAAACGCTACAAGCAAAATGGCTGCTAATTATAATGACTAGATTTCGAGTCAGGTAGGAATTAAATAAGGTACACAGTTTTTTACTTTGTTAATCATCTCTACTTTTTTAGAACTTGAAACATCATATGATTTTAATGGTCACATGTGTTTATATTATTTTTACATGTTAAATTACAGCTACTACAAAGGACAACACTGTCTGTTCTATTGCCTTACCTCGTAATCAATAAATTCCAGATGTACTACAATGATTTTCTGATAAACAATTTTGTATATGTACTTCATGTATTTCATTGTTAAAATTCCCAGTCACTAAAAGATATGCTAACAATCGCTCTGAATATGGTCCTAAGTTTTACCAGATGTACACCCGACTCTTTATTGCCAACGTCACAGACTAATACAAATATGCCACTTACTGATCGGCTGTTTACCTCGGTAGACGTCAAAATGTTTTGGATAGCCGTGAAATAGGGTATCGACGTCAATTTGCTGACTGGGGTTAGCTATCTTTTTAGAGCAGAGAAAATACTGCAAATTTTGGTCTTTAATATGTATACTAATTTACGAATTAAAAAAATAGATGATTATAAACTTCAGTCCATCAGCTCAATTTTTATGCTCTAACAATTCAGAATAAAACAGAGCGTATAATCAAATCCCTGAAAATGACGGTTCCCAAATAAACACAAAACCAACAGTAACGACATGTCCCGTGTATCCTATTGATACGGAGTTCAGTGCCAATTAAAGCTATAAAAAACCAACTAACGATTAAGGAGCTATTAAAAAAGCATACATCTTAATGGGACAGATGCAAATGAAGACGTCGAAGAGCTTTAAGTTGACTTACAATATCAGTGGCGTTACACCATGTTTCGGAAGGATGACATGCAGAAACTGCCTTTGCCCATAAATGACTTATAAAATAAGAATAAAAGCTTATAAAATACATATTAAAGTTAACATACATGATGGTTTCGCTTTCAAAATAACATAGATAAGAAGTGTTGTGAAGACATTTTCTAAATTATCTCACATATAAAAAGACGAGATTTGGTGGCACATATTACTAATTTTTTCGATTCGGTGCCGAAGTTTACCTTTTTAAACGTATTGAAACGATTAGAAGTATCGAAAACATATACTCATCTTGTTTACTAGCGAATTGTTTAATTTAAGAATACATCTCTATGAAGAGTCAGATTTTTTTTTAATTAACTACCTGAAAGTAAACAGAACCAAACTGGTAATTTGGGGACGTTAAGAAATGTCTTGTATTAATACTCTAGCTACAAGAACTTCCTAGGCCTTACTGGCGATAAATCAGATATGGCTACGCGCTAAGATGTCCAAAAACTCAAAAAACTTAGAAAAATGACGTTTCGTGTTTTTTAAAAACATTGACCTACCCAAAGAAGATTTCCAGACTACACCCAAGTATCATGAGATACCCAGGAAGCATCGGAAAGCATTCTGAACTTCTTAGTTCATCGCCCACAGTTCGGTCGCTACTGGACTTTCAAAACCTACAAATTATTTTCGTTCCTGGCATGGCAGTAACTTCTTTCAGCTTTATCAAAATTCAGGTAGTATTTTCGAAGACATAAAGGAGACAAGGATTGTCTTAACAAGATTTTTTTTCGTGTGACTGTTATCTCTGGACTCCTGCGACTTTTTCCCTGCTTTAAGCGTCTATTGGCGGGTCATCGACATATTCATCACTGCTGTCTTCTGAATGATCAAGAGATATTAACTGTTGATAAAATGCCCTGGAATCTGCTCTCTCTAGAAATTTGGTCAGATACTGCAGATCCTTCCGTTTCTTACTTTTAATTGGGATTGGGCCATGGTAAGCTTTTCTCAATGTTTCCTCTTCTCGTTTTTGTTGATCTTTTTGCGTCTTTTTTAGATTCTTCCGAATTACCTTATCAAATTTAGAACTAGCATATAGGCCCATGTATGTGGGTTTGTGAAAAACTACGCAAGGACTCTGTTTACAAAACTTGAGCATCCTGACTGGTCGGGTTGGAAAGGGGCACTTCGTTGGATAAAACGGCGATAAAAACGTGCTCCAATCTTGAATTCAAAATTTTTGCCACAATCAAAGACTTCAAATGGTGTAGGTTTCACACGGCAATTTTTCAAATTATTTCTCCAGTCATCCGGTACCTCAGTGTATGCTCTTTGGTTCACGAGACTCATATCTCTATCACACTCGAGGTATGAATGCCCCCTGATCGGGAATATTACTTTCACAGTAGCAAATAGATTTTTCTTGGTAACCAAGTAATGCAAAAACCGAATAACTGTAAAGTTTGTATTTTGCCCTGCTCAGGAGTCACAGAAACTGGTAAGTTCTTTTACCTCCATAGGCAGGATGTTATAAAAAAAGTGATGCATAGAACAGACATCGTCAGCTCCATTCTTCGCAATAGATTCATCGTAGTATAAAAGATAGAAGTTGAGTTTGACAGAATGTGGATGTTAAAACTGATGAAATTTAGTTAGCGCTTATAGTAAACATCATTTGTCGTGATATTTGGACAGGGCAAGTTTTTTTGGTAATCCATCGTGATACTTTCGACATCGGGGAACTTCGAGGCACGTTTGCGGTAAGTTCTCTTTAGACTGTAAAATCGCTCACTTCTTTTTTGATGTAGTGTCTTCTCAAGTATCTTTTTCTCCAAATTATTACTTGCTGACTGCCTAGTTTGTTCCGTGTGGGAATTTAAGGTAGCGGTCAGTGAAGATATATCAGCTTTTAAGGAATCACACGTACTACAAGTATCTTTTCGTGGATAACCGAACGATATATTGAAGTTGTTTTCAAATATTTCTCAGAAGGATTCATAGGAAATCTTGTTTTCAACATTGCCAATAGAATAATTTTGTGTAATTTTGCGATATTTAGATTTTCAGGTAGGTACGGCCGATGCAACGCCGCCTTTCCATATGGACTGATGCCGTTTTTCCATACACGCGCAGGGACTCATGCCATTCTTCCCCGGCACAGGAAGTCTTATAGCTGTTGTTTTGTGAACCTAAGCCCATTTTACAATTTAAGAAGCTGGTTACAATATAGCATCCGGAAAATGCCACCAAAATAAACTGAAAGCTCAATTTACCCAAATAATGGACTAATGCCGTTTTTCCCCGGTACCCTTCATTCGATTATTGCTTTTATTTCGAGATAATGTGAATATTGTTATAGTGATCATGTTCTGACTGGAAGGGGAATAATATTGACTTTGTCCACGTGGAGATACATTGCATAGGCGTGGTTCAATAACCAAGAAAGCTGTCCGTCCAAATTTGTAAAAAATGGTATAATCGTTTCAAAATAATCAGCTGAAATGTTGCAAGATTGATTGCGGGTCGAAGGCATGTGTTTTTATGATATGACATTGTATTACTCGCCTATCGACAGATGACACTATACGATAACAATATGTGATTGATATTTTTTCCGTAATTAGTGAATTCAAAAAGAGCTAAAAACCACAGAGTCCGCTCTATTTCGAACAGTAGCATGGTTAGCAGACAGCCGGTTAAAAATACCTTAATTTTGGCTGCAGCTTAAAAACATAAAAAACATAATTTTGAGATCAAAACATTTTTCCATACTTAGTCGCCTTTTATAGGATCTCAGTTTCGATCTTTGAACAGTCGATATCAAGTTCATTATCAGTGATCCCGAAAACATGTAAAACTCAAATTCAAGCTCAATCAAAACATTATTTTTACAAAGATGTACACGATATTAAATCGATAATTTTAGTGCCTTTGACAAATGGATATCATATTCGTTATCAGTGATATGGAAAACGTATATATGGATTTCTTTATAAAATTTGATGAAATTCTTTAATTTGGGCCATATTTTTTGGGGTTTTTTAACCACCGTGGCGTCGCTCGCATGTAGGCTTATAAATGTTAATGATATATGATATCCAGATGCCGAACTGTGACGTCACGACTGAACAGGGCGCGCGAGGTCGGACGGATACCGCACCCAATACAGTAAATGTGATAACTGCCTTAAACATCAAGATGTCTCAATAATTCTTTCAGATTTGTAAAAGATGTCAGTTATACCATTATATCCAATTGAACATAGGAGTATTTTCGCCTAGTGAGACATCAGTATCCATCATCATTCATAATCACCTAGGGTTTCACTAGCTCAGATGGATAATGAATCAAGAAAGTTTGAGATCTGCGCCACTGACTGTTCCCAGCTGATGGTGCGACCGATGACGGTGGGATGGTACCGTGTCGGTGCCCTTCCTCAGACGGGTTTCTTTCACGCTGTCAGTTAATGGGTAATTTGCCGGAACTGCCGGACAAATGGTCATCTTTCAGCTACGGCCTGTGTCCGTCAATGTCACAGACGTGTGTTTGTTAATTAGACAGGGGCTTCCGTTCCAATATATCGGGGTACAAAGGACACAGAGCTGAAATGTGTCATTGAAACGCTTTGAAGCTTACAAGTCTGATTTGATCAGCTTTTAGGATACATCTTTTTATACATTTATATTCATAGAGGTATTATAGCATAGCGTTGATGAAAATGAGTCGATTAGGTCAGTTTACCAACGTCGCTTCTTGAACTTGTTTACAATACATTTGATCCTACGAGTCGGATAGAAGTCAGAAACTCCTGAAAATCGCCCTGGCCGGCCTGAAGCACAGCGACCACGGGACCTACAACAAGCCGCCATCATTGGGAATCGCCATCGAAGATCGTCACACTCACACAAAAGGTTGGTGCGTTCCATATCTCAAATTCCTGTCGTTTTTCCTTGAGCTCACACATTGTCGCTTAAAAATTCTCGTATTTCACATTGTTTCGTTATTTCTGGAGCACTCAAATTTTCGCATTTGTCGTTAACGTTAGATTGTGTCGTTACGGCTTGTTTACCCACCTAAATTTACTATCATTCTCGTTCTCGCTCACTTACGCATAATGCCTAATGGTAATGCTAAAAAACTTGCATCCATAAAGGGTACTCTTACTCGATTTCATAATTATTTCCATACCATCAGTCAAAAATCTAATCCAGATATCACAGAACTGGAATGTAGACTAGCTTCTGTCGAATTGCTGTTAGACAATTTTAACAAAATTCAAGAAAAAATCGAAGATTCAGATGGAAATTTTGAGGAAAATTTTGAATCAGTTCATTCAGTAGCGCGTGCTGAATTTGAAAATGCCTTTTACGAAATTATATCAAAAACCAAGCAATTTTTGAACGATCATCGCCCATCGCTAGTAAACAATGCGGCTTTACATTCCCCTCCACAATTTGTACAGCCAGATTTGCAGGCTATCAAGCTTCCGGCCTTGAATATCCCACATTTTGATGGATCATACGATCAGTGGCTATTTTTCCGAGATACCTTTCGCTCTTTAATCCATAACAATGATGCCCTAAGCCCCATACAAAAGTTTCATTATCTGAGATTGTCACTAAAAGGTAGCGCCGCAGACACAATCAAGTCTCTCGAAATTTCAAATCAAAATTATAATGTAGCTTGGGACTTACTGGAGGAACGCTTCGAAAATAAGCAACTTTTAGTCAACAATCATATAAAAGCACTTTTTGACATACCTACCATCCAACGAGAAGGCTATGCTAGCCTACGGGACTTAGTAGACAGCCTACAGAAACACTTGCGAGCTTTGGAGGTTTTGAAACTACCTGTCTCGCACTGGGACTCGATACTCATCTACCTCATTTCCTCCAAGCTAGATAACGCTACTCGCCGCGAATGGGAAATGCGGAGCAAAACGCAAGAACTTCCTACCATGACGGAATTTTCAGAATTTCTAAAAAACAAGTGTCGAAATCTGGAATCTTTCGAAATGTACCATGATAAAGCGAGACAAAATCAATCGTTCAATAAGCACGTCAAGCCCAAGGCATTTGTAGCTACACACAACGAAAATACGTCATGCGCGTTTTGTAAAAGGGATCATTCAATCTATATTTGCCAAGAGTTTATTCGCTTAGCCCCCACAGAGCGTTTTAATGAAACAAGGCGCCTCAATCTTTGTATCAACTGTCTGAGATTCGGACACAACGTGAATAATTGCAAGTCCATGTTCTGTAAATATTGCAGCAAGCCTCATCATACTTTACTGCACTTTCCTAGCAAACCTGAAGCTCGACGACACGACGCGCCTCCTTCGCCGCCTGCCGTTCGGCGTCAGTACAATGGGCGTCATAACGCAGCCGCCGTTGCCGCTGATGCGCCCACGCCATCCACAGCCACCGCTGAGCGCGGTGCCGCGAGCCAGCGCGGAGAACGCATCAACAGGTTCAAGAAATTTGTATTGTCACTCATTTTACCAAATCAAATACAGTCCACTTTTGTAAACTCAAATAAACCTATCACCAGACTGGAACGGATGTGTCCTTGCCGCACATAACATTTCTAAATTATAAGTGTATTTCGTCAGAGAGCTGCCGATCTTGATTCTAAGTTAGTATCTATGAACAAGTGGTGTAGTTCTAGAATTGTTCACCCAGTTACCTAGTATCAGAAGGTCCGGTATTGTGCCTGATAGTGAGATATAGATAATTATTGTTGAAAACATTGTTTAACTGTAATAACTTCTGCTGACGATTATACTATCGCTGTGAACTAAGTAAAGTAGAAGATTTCATTTTGTGTGAAAGGACAACAGCTGGTACGGCCAAGAAAAGTTAAACGCCCGAGGGTGGGGACAAATATCCTGAGAGCGCTAAACGTCTAAACAATTAGTACGTTTATCTTGTCTGAAGCTCAATATTTTAATAACTTATGACTCACGGCTGGGAGTTTGAACATTCAGGGAACGATGTCAATGGTCCTACTGAGCGGGGCCGTGGCAAATGCTTGCTCCGGAAGTTGTCGTATCCAGTATACAACGTCTTCCCGTTCCAGAGATTGTACACGCGGTAAGGAACACCTCAGTACAAGTCCGCCCACGAGCCACCTTAGGTCTATTTAATATCATAATACGCAAAAAGAAGGTGGTAGACAAGGACCAGTCGACCGAGGCGGTACCATCCGCTAGCTTTTCCCTTCCGCATATTTCCACACCCAAGCTATGCAGTCGGTTACTCCATTCTCCGAATGTCCGAGTGGAGGGCGGGCTCGAGGGAACAACATCGAAGATAAAATTTGTTTCACAAATATCTGCGGATTAACAGCAACATTGATGTTGACCATCACTACCTGCAATCAAGCCGTCCCGTCAAGCTTTTCTTAGGCGTTAGGTCACAAAGTTCTTTGAAATGCTTTTACCAGAGCCGACTCTAGAACTACCAACTAGCTACAACTCTAGGTATTCTGTAAGCTCGTAAGTAAGCATTCTTTGACTGAAAACCACAAGGAGCAAAGTACAAGTGCTGGCCCAGATTTTATTCACATAGATCCCTCAAAAAGAAAACGTGTGAGCGGTGTCATGAGGTGTTAGCCAAAATTGTAGACGTTTTAGGACGTAACAATTCGGTCTCTTTATACATCAATTGTACTGTACCTTTTGAACACTCCTAATTCCTCCCTATAACGGAGGCAGAACCAAAGTGTATCTAACAAACTATGCGCGGACAATAAATATTCCGCATCAACATTAAGCTTGTAGTACCGCTGTCTCGTTAGCTAACCAATCTCTTTCTGCTTATCCCACGAACGACTACGACAACAATTAGTAAAACGATTTTGAATCGTCCAACAGTGGTACTACGTCTGTCTGCTGCTTGTTAACCTGCAAGTCGTACGGCTACGGTGGTACCGTGAGGTGCCCAACTAGAGTTCGAACAGCCTAAGGTTATGCCCGCTACGTCATCACTTTATACCCTCTCCCTTGCGTCGATTGTACCCTATAAGAATATAGGAAATTGTTGTGACAGTCTCTGGTAAGATTTATGGACATCTGTTACCGCCCTCTTAATGTGGTCCAGTTCCAATCGTGGCGAATATTTATATCGTAGAAAGCTTAAAAATGTATACTTTATCTGAAGTCACTTGAAATAGCATAAAAACCTTTGGTCGGCGCGTCCTTTGTAATTTCATGACGTATCATAGGCGTGCGGTCATTTATTTAGAACGATAATAATAATGTTTTTATATCACAATAAATGGATTTTACTATATTCTTATTTTTTTGATTTGGGATAAAAAATACTTATATTGGGAGTTTAATTTATGTTGACTGAAAGTTAAGAAATGGAAAAATTACAGAATTCCAACGTTTGACATAGGCAAATATTTACATAGCAGGTAGGTATACAAAAAGGTATATAAAGACTTACATTATAGGTATTTATATATCATCCTCGCATTCGGAGCTGTCGCTAGAGTCATCTTGTAGAGGAATTACAACGGGATTTACAGGAGGCAAAACACAATATTCATTTTCTTTTTCAATAATATGCCTAGAACACTGCTTCCATAGGTCTGTGGCAGCAATATGAGATACTGCATCTCTTATTGTGGCCAATAGCGATTTACTTAATTGAGGGGTCTGATTATGTTTTCTTACTTTTTTTTTAAAGCAGCCCAGACCAACTCAATCGGGTTAAAAATGCAGTAATAGGGAGGTAGACGTAATACTTCATGGCCATTTTGCTGAAGCAGATTGTCTACAACATACTCTTTTTCAAATTTTTGTCTTTTAATAAGATCCAATAATATGGCTTTGGTTGATTTTTGTGGTATTTCTATTCCCTTATCCTTCATAAAATCAATAATGTCTTGTTTTTTTGTGCCTGTATTCGGAATTTTGTTTTTCTGTCGGGAATGGTATGGCGCATTGTCCATAATAATCACTGAATTTGGGGAAATGTTTGGTATTAACTGCTGCTCTATCCACTTTTCAAATAAGTCGTAGGTCATGCCCTCATGATAGTCGGCACATGATACTTTGATATTTTTGGCAGATAACAGCAAGGCATTAGGTATAAATCCAATTTCACTGCCAGCATGGAGAATAATGATTCGTTTTCCACGGTTGCATGGTGCATTTAAAATGCACTTGTTGCTGTCGTCAACCCAGCCGTACTGCACAACATCATCCAGGTAAATCAGATTTCTTTTCTGCTCTCTATAGATTTTAATTTTGTGCAAAAATTCTTGGCGCAATTCAACGATTCGAGACGACTCCATAATCACCATTCTTTTATCTAATTTTTTGTATTGAAAACCACACAGTTTTACAATAGAGTGCAGTGAGTCTAAGCATTTGTAATTATAAAAATCTTCAGGATAATCTTTTAATTTATCCCGTATCATTTCCAACGTGGGCACCAAATTTTCTTTATAAAATCCGTATATTATACGACGAATATCTTCCTGAAAACCCACGTCTATTCTTTTTAATTTTTGCCCTATGCGCTTTCTGTGGAAGGAATGGTTGACTACATCTCCCCTTTTTATAACCCGATAAATGGTAGACCGACTGATTTTTGTCAGGATACAAATTCTGTTTAAAATTTGATTTTGCGAGGAATCTGGATTTTCGTTTTCCAGACAATCATTCATATTTAGGATTACTCTTTGGGTCTGTTCCTCTAAATCTTTATGAAAGAATTCTGCCTGCACAGGTTCATCAACCATCTCCTCGTGGCTTGGAGCATTTTCCCAAGGTCTCCAAAGAGCCATATTTAGGACACACAAGAACAATCAACACAACAACTAAATCAACAAGTAAACTGAGTATTCAAAAGTCAAAAACACACAAACTAATAAAATCTATGAAAAAACACGGACAGACTAAAGAAAACACGTTTATTCACCGCTACACGGCACTGGCTAAACTGTTTCAATTTTCAGTAGCCACCTCCACTTGTTCGGAGCTCTGAAATACACGCTTTCTCATTGGCTATGTCCACGCATAGGCGTGCTTTACTCCACGTGGACCGGTGAAACTGCCTTTGATCTTATACGGGGGATATTTGCTGCGAAATTTGGCGATTTTTGCAGCAACAGAGCGTGTTAAATATAGATATATAAAACGCACCCGGTATTTCACAGTGTTTCAAGTGACTTCAGATAAAGTATATGTGGTCTTCAATGTCCAGAAATGATGTTGCTGTTGACGCTGTTAAGGGACATCCCACTCTCAGTAAGCCATAGGCGGAACGTTTTTTAGTATGTAGATACGCAAGTTTCAGTCAGTTGAGATTGTTGACACAATTGCGATCTGATGAGACGTTTGTTCAATTTATTTTTTTATTTATTAACCATGTCATATTTTATATTTGATTGTGTTGAAAATTATTAATCTTATGGGGTTTGTAGATATTTGATGGAGATCCATAAATCAAAATATAAAATAGTGAGCAGGTACCTACATATAATAGACACAATATTGAAGGGTAAAACCCCAAAGTTGGCAAACAACTGAAAGTAATTAAATTAATCCTAAGACTGTGAACCGCTTATATCTATACCAATCATGAGATTTCCTAGAGTGCATCATTAGTACTTAGATAAATAGGCTAATACCAATATCAAACGTAGGTAAAAAAAATTAGTAGAAACAAATCTAATAATAACAAGTGTAAAATTGAACTACCTGGAATAATTCCCGGTTGCTAAATCCCTTCGTTCGTAAGTAGCGTTAAGACGATGAGTGTTAATTAATCACATTTATTTTACCTGCAACAGATATATAAACCTGTCCGTTAGTCATAAGTTCAGTTTGTAAACTAATTTGAACAAGGCACCGTGTGTAAAAATTGTCAAATAGATTGCAATATAGTGGAAATTTTTACTATTGTTCAAATTTAAATTATTAATAGTTTTGAACCAGTGATCTAAACAATGTCTGTGAAAGAGATTGGCGTGAAAGGAAAGGCGATTGGGAGTCAAGGAAATTAAATTATCAACAATGTCAATAACTTCATGGTACAGGAAAGTGTAGAGGGATTAAAGTTTCCACTTCAACAATACCGGTATGTATGAATGTAAAAGATTTTTATAATTATTGTCAAATAAAACTGATTAACCCATTTAGGAAACGTGTGTTAGCTGCCACGGGTATAAGTAAATGTACTTATCAAAAAATAGCTAAAGAGAGCAGAGATGGAATATATTCAAGCAACTTTTCATTTTCATCCCGGTCTAAAAAGCGGCAACGAAAATTACCTGTTGTGGATAAAGTGACTGCAGGCCAAATTGAAGAAATGAAAGCAATCATCTACGATTTTTATATTTTGGAGAAAAGAAGACCTTCGCTGAAATGTAAGATTTTAAATTGTAACCGTAGCATCTAGTCATATTTCATTTTAAGATATTTTAGGTATTTACCAAAAAATGCAAGATCAACAACTCAATTTTGAGGGTAAAATAACGACTTTGAACAAACTTTTGAAACAAATGGGCTTTAGGTCAGTATTCATACACACTATAAGGTTTTCGATTTACAACGCTATAAATATA